AAACGTATGATATGCTTATGTGATGTAATGCAGTACTACGCTATACTAATCTTCCCAGTATAAGGTGTCTAAAACTGGTTCATGAACTACAACATTAAAATGCTCTTACATGTATTCATTAGTGATGAAATACAATAATATAATATTTCATAATAATATAACACTATGGAAGGAGGAATTCTTACTTTTGATACTTTGAGCTTTTTGCTGATAATATGTATATATTTGCTAAAGAAACATTTCTTAATTTCTACTGCGTACTTTTGCCACTCCACTTCCATCCTGGGTAAAAAAATCCTGCAAGACTGAATTTAAAAGGATATGACAAAGTAATATGATTAAGTCTCATGGTGTAGTTTCAGAACAAAAACTAAATGTAAAAACTGATTCAGAGCTGAGGAGCTAAAACTTACTTTTTGAACCAAATCTCTGGAGCGGCCAAAACGGGAAACACTTGTCTTGGTTATCAGTATCTTGTTGCCTGAATTTCAATTGAAAGTTATTTAATATCTCTGGATGCAAATGAAGAGGGCAGTGTGCGTGAGTCTTGTTGCACAATTGCAGCATGACATTTTATGAAGGTGAACAAAGATTTACGTGGGATAAAGGCACAATAACACATAATTATGCATAAAGCTCTCACCATTACTAAAAGACAAAATGGCGGTGACATTTTAGCCACAGTAGTAGCTTTGATGACGTTGTTGGTCGGTCCACCACTTCCAGACTGAACTAAGGCTACTGACTTTGGTGATCCCCTGACTTTTCCTCTAGTGCCAGCATGAGGTTGAAATATGTGGTTTCGAGTCAAATGTCTCTGCAACTATTGGGTAAATCATCATGTAATTTGGTTCAAATATCCAGCGCCAACATGTTAGAATGGCATTCAAGAATGCTGACGTCAGCTTTTAACTTAAAGCACTGCTATGGTTAATTACAGCCTCACAGAGCAGCAGACTCTCGTTTGAATATGTCTAAAATGATGTCAACATCACCAAACCATTTAATGGTTATTAAAGTTTTTAATGTTTTAATGTGAATGAGTTGTCTTGTCAATCAATGTTCAACCAAATCCGAATGGTTTCTGGCATCCTTGTGTCTGGTAATAACAGAACAAATTCACGTGGAATGAGGTGAGGGGCCAACATTCCTTATGACTAAAGTATTGCATAGGCAACGACTGATAAAGAGCTTATCCACTGAGTTTTCTTACATCCAGTCCCATGATCATGACGCACAGTGTGGAAATAATAAACCTAAACATCTTTACTGCTGCTTTGGCTACTAGTCACGAGAAGATCTGGTGAAGAAACGTGATGAAAACTAAAGTTTGCATGTGCACAGTACAGAAAGTACAAGGCTGGTCTAGGATCTTCCAGACAATATTGTTCCTGAATGGCTTCAAAGGGAGTTTCAAGTCAGAGAGGGAAACGGCAAGCTGTATCTGAGCCACAAGTTTAAATGCAGTTTAATTTGGCATTGAAGCTACAACATTTGACTCTCCCTCTCTCTAATGTGAAACAGCAATAGCTTGGATCCTCGCTGCCTTGGCAGAATGTGCAGTCTATAACTCTCTCTTATTAACTTAGATCCTGCACCTACAAGGTTGATTGCTGATTTAATATTGCGTTTACCTTTTTGGCTATAGATTGCCCATCTCTGACTTGTGTTCATACAGTAATGAAACTATGTAACATGATGCTGCTGGGAAAAACAAGTTTCTGTCATTCACACCTATAAATCTCAGAGTCTTTATGCCGGGGCTGACACCACACTGTACAATATAATACAACACAACATAATGCAATGTCATTGTTTGCCGTGGTGGAGCTTAGTCTCCAAGAAAGAAACACTTCAGTATGGTCAGTATAGTTACTGATTGAGAAAAAAACAGTTTAGTGGTAATTTCCTGAAGTGCGTAATCGCTGTATGTGAGCTCCTGCAATTATAAACCTTCTCTTAACAATCACATTACCTCTAGACTTGGTACAAATTGTGATTTCCATGACTGACGATGCTAGCTGTTTCAAGCTCTAACATTCTTTCATCGGGTTATACATCAATTAGCAATTTTCTTTACTACTTCATTCATTATTCATCTCAATATGATATATTAATATCTCAGTTAGTTTAGTTGTCAATCGTTTACTCTTTGGCAAAAATGAGTGGCCATACTAACGCACACAAAGTTACCATGACAGAAGAACCAACATATTGAAAAAACAAGCACAGGCACGGGAGCAGTGAGTAAGTCGAGATGCACCATTGCACGGTATTTTGGTTGGACAAGTGACAAGAAGATGGACCAACAACACAAGGCCACCTGCCAGGCTCATAATTACAAAAGGACAGGTTGTGGCCCTGTTTCTTGCCTACAGCATGAAATGAAAGCCACTTGGTTTTCCCAGTTCAGCCACACAGGATTAGTGTAAACAGATACACGAATAGATCACTCATGACATGGAAAAGAAACATTTTCCATTCCATCTCCCTATTGTCGTTTAAATAATCTATGCTTGTTGCTCGTTGGGGATGACAAGGTCAAATCTGAAATACAAAATAGTGACTCTATACATGTCATCCATTCCATTGGCTGTCTTGAAAAATAAGATGTAGACTGAGGTTTTGATTCTTTTTGGAATTTATATTACAAGAAATTGTATGATTCTATGTTGAAAATAATGATATAAACAATTTAGGACAGTATCAGAATCAGCAGTCACACGTGGCAAGTGTCAAATAATGACAATGTTTGATCATTTGAAAACACAATTGAGATTATAGATCTTTTTTGTTTGCCATTGCTGCATTTACTTATTTGGAAGAAATGACTTCTAATAACATGTTTGGAGAGTCAGAAGCGAGGGTCAAAGGACAGAGGGCGCAGCTGTACAGATGGTAAAGCCCCTTGAAGCTGATTTGTCATATCGCCAAAATAAATAAAATTGACTTGACTTGATATGCTTTGGGTATTCATATGTATGTACGCATGCACAATCATGAAGAAGAAAGACTCACAAAAAGCTGTACACAAATGCACATGTATCCACGTGTTCAAAAGCCATCCTCCCCTGTTCGCACAAAACAGGAATGAAGTCAGCCTGCATACATTTTAGTACGCAGGCTCTTTGTTTAATAAGAGCTTGGCATGCAAAGGGAGCCAGATATCTCTAATATATTTGGAAATGTCAAGCTAATGAGATTGTTTACACAACTGCTCGAGATTGCCAAACTCAAGTTTTGTATCAGTTGGTGGAAGTTAGCTCAAACCTGTTTCTTGATTATTGTATCAAAAAATGTTTCTTCTACTCATCTCAGCCTGGAGTCAGAATCAAGGGCCTTCAAACGCCTCTTGTCAGGCAGCCAATCTACTTTGCCTCAGCAAAGTTCTATGAATTCAAAGGATTGCACTCATACGCATCACTGGCAGTGCACGTCTGGATTGAGATCCTTAATTATAATAATTTGTGGTGCCTCCCTAGATGTGTTGAACTCAAGAATGTTCACACACAAAGGATTTAACTATGGCCAAGCACTCACACTGTGACACATTCGCACAGTACCTAAATTCTGTGTTTGAGTTTTCAGATATTTTTCCATCTGCTTGAGCTACCCCCACACGCAGCTGGGTGCTAGGCGGCCACGTGGCATAGCACTGCACAGCATGGCTCTACCTAGATGAAGACACAATCTTCCCTCTGACACCCGTGCTCCCCACTGAGAGGACGCAAGTAGTGAAGCGAGCTCCATGAAAGATTTACCAACCAACTGAGGTGGTCTCCCTTAGAAGCTGAGTGGAGGCCGGTGGTTGGAGGCGAAAAGGAGGGATGGAATTCCAGGGGGAATCCTGGAGTGTCTGAAGTGTCATTTTATATTCAGAGAAGAGATTTAGAATTCTACTGCTCAGCAGTGATCTGTCTCTCAGAGGCATTCACCAAGCCTCCGTCACACCCTGGATCCTGCAGATTGCATTAGAGTTTGATGGCTGATGGGAGGAGACACTTGCCTGCCCAAACACCAGCTAATTACAAATTCCAGCTTGACTGAGAGACAGTTGGAAATGATCGTAACACAGAGGTTAACACAAAGTCACATGGACGCATGTGGTTTAGGTTTCTGAGAAAGTTCCCTGCTGACAAATGTACACTGTTGAACAAACTGACTTTTAAACGAGAGAAAGTAGCACTAACAGAACCCTTGCCATGACCAAGGCTTTTGATCTCTGCATTATTTCTTCATCTAAAAACACGAGTGCCCGGAGTTTACTTTAGACTTTAACCCCCCTGCCTTAAGAGAATTAACTTATAATTGTCCTTTATTCTATTTGACAGTAAACTCTGAGGGAAAGTTTCGTAGTGTGCGTCAGAGTTAATCTCTGCGAATACATTGATGTCATCTATGAAAGCACTCCATGTGTGTAGCCTACAGTTGTTCTAACAAGCTTATCTTTTTAGTAAGCTGGTATGGATGTGGTCTAAGCCACCCATGTGAGAATGAATTCTAGAAATAATACTACACTTGCTTGGACCTGCATGAAGATATGTGTAGCAAAACAATGAGAATGAAATCCCGTACTTGCAGGGGAAAAAAACTCCCCTGAATTTACAACGTCTTCATCAAACTCCTGCAGCCTCCTGCCTCAGTTCCTCCTGTAGGGTCCTTTCAAAAAGTGAGTGCATGAGAGTCATATTGCTTTGACAGGTCAGTCCTTCCAGGAAACGATACATCTGATCTGGCTCTGTCACCGATAATATAATTAGCTTAGGCTGCCTTGCAACCACAGCTGTTTAGCTGTCTGCACCACAGCCACTTCCTTCTCCTGCGTGATAGGTTTCTCTCGTTATAAGGAGACTTGGATACAGCCACAGCCTACAGTACACAATTTATATCCGAGAACCACAGGCGGATCAGCACAAAACGATCTCGTGGAGCGCACAGCTGACACTCTTGCATCATCTGCAGAAATCTGGAGTCATCCCTTTAATTAAGAAAATCACCGTTTAAATGTATTTTACGTGGAAACATCGGGATGTGAAGCAAAATTTGGATTCATAAGCAACTATTGCTTTGCAAACTATGACAATTAAGTTGCATCTTGGTAGTTTTAAAGTTTAGCAGCGCGTCCCGTGTGAGCTGCAGGCTACCTAAACGGTAATTGGAGGCACCTGAGGAAATTGCGGTGCAAGGTGGGACGGTTCTGCCTCGTGCGTACACCGGGGGCGCGCTCCTGGCTCCATATCACTGACACTTAATTTAATTCTCTGGCTCCACGAGACTGACGTCCATTACGGAACGAGCACGAGCAGCGAAGAAAAGCCCCGAACATGCACGCCGATATCCATCAAATGACACAAAACACGTGCTGTCATATTTAGCTGGTCAGGATCCAAAATTAAATCCGAGCATAAGCTTTAATTGTCGCGCACCGGAGTGACTAACAAGCGCAGCTGACAGCCTGTTTGTGTTTGCACCCTGCGGTCAGTTGCTGGGGACGCACGTTGTAAAATGAGGTTTGGAAGCATCATTGTAATCGTCGCTCTCTGCTCTTTTACCGCTTATTATATCTATGAGCCCATTCCTGAGGAGATAGAGGAGAGATGGAAACTCATGCTGACCAACTCTTTCTTCAGAAGTCTCAGCCACCTGGTAAGGAAACAAAAACTGTATTCTTGCAGGCTATCTTTACATTAGGTGTGCTGGTAGCCTTGTGATAATTACTTTGGACATAAATCCCCTTAGAACATCTTGTACTGTGGGTGAATGTACCCTTTTTTCTTATTTCAAAAGCAAATTGTCTTGGTTTTGTTTGTTCTCTCTGTAAGTAAGGTGACAGGTTAAACGTGTATTGTATTTTGCTGATGTTGATATAAATGCTTATTACACCAGATTATGTCAGATGGTAATCTGTGTGTTGTATAGTCCTGCACACCTGTTCTAATAATAGACCCTACTAAGTAAACTCCACTCTGTTTATGACCGTTAGACGCCTATGGTTTACAGTAGCCCATATGACTCTATCTCGTTTAGAATACTACATAATTAAGTTGTATTACATGGGTGTAACATTACTGTAAACACGAGGAGTGGCTAAATTCCTATAATAAATCCGTCATAAAAAAAGTTTTGGCCAAAGTACAGAATGTCCCCATTGATTTATAATCACAATGTTTTGATCCCACGGCCATACAAGCACAACATCATGCATGTTACTATACCAGGGTTTCAATCTAGAGCCCTGGCTTCAAAATAGTGTGATTTTTACTATTTTCTAACAGAATGAGTCATTTTCTCTTGTTTACCCTATGGAGCAAACACATTCTATTTTCCTGATTTCCACAAGGGTTATTGCTGCTGTATTATGGAGCACTGCAGTGTTTGATGCAATGCATCAAAATCAATGTTGTTGCTAATCACTTACATAGCCCAGACCGTGAAAAGGCAGTTGGCAGTTACAGAAAGCAATCACAATTTTGCGTTCTCGGTTTTTTTCATGAAAAACAACAGTGCCATTGATCACAATTTGGCATTTAGAGGGTGAAACTTCTTTTATTTATATAAATACATATTTTATATTTTAGGATTTCATTAGAACTTGTTTTATTATTTATTTTCACTACAAATGACCTGTGACAAAGAGAGAGAGAGAGTGCTTCTCTCGACTGATATTTGTGCTTCACTGAATGTAGAGCTTGCGGTTGAGGACTCTTTGAGTGTGTTGTAACAGCAGAAGAGCATCAGCTGATTTGCCTTATGCCAGCCACTGACTAACTGCCTCATCAGACGTAATGGAGTATGAGTCATGCTTTTAAAACTTATTATGTCGTTTTGACTTTTCAAAACAAATAACTGCAGGGGGCTTTTGGCATTTTATCAAGCAACATTCACATGACTATAGTCTCCCTCTCTCCCTCTGTAATATGGCCACATAGCTCAGCATCGTTACCCTTTATGCTTTGAATATTATGAGCTTTCGTCAAGGTGATTGTTTGCTTAGGATAAATTCCCTGCAAATAGCTTTACTCTTAAGTATCAGACGCAACACGAATGGCTCGGGTTTGATGAACAATGATCAGTTCTGTAATGTGTCTGTCTCTATATCTCACGCTTCACTTTCCAGGCAGACCTCAGTGAATTACTGGGGCTGAAGGACTACATGGGGGTTATGTACTTCATCACTCTGGCTGAAAAGGTAGTGCCTGTGTCTGACGAACATGTCAAGGTGAAGGAGGAGACATTTGATGGAGTGGAGGTGGTGCTGTACCAGCCAAAGCAGAGAGGCGGTGACGCTGAGCTCAGGAGAGCTGTCATATACCTGCACGGTGGAGGATGGTGTCTGGGTAGTTCCCGTAAGTTGATAGGCTGGCCTGTCTGCTCCTTCGTCACACAGAATTATGACTGCAGGGAAGATGGATAGATGGATGGATGGATGGGTGAATGGGTAATACATATTCTTGTGTTCATCACACAGTAATTCTATTTTATTGAGGAAGTATTCTGACGTTGATGTGACACATTACAGATTTACATAGACTCCCTGTGACAGCTAATATGATTGTAAATTATGAACAATCTACACAAGGCACAGAGCTCTCCAGGTTTCCTGAGGAAATAACACACCGTCTGCTGGAGCGGTGGGCACCTCAGAGGGTGGTTACCCTTGCTAATTCAGAACGTAAATACATGAGTGTGCATGCCGTTAGACACATCTCATGCTGTTGTTGCAATCTGTTGAACGGCTGTAACAATTACAGTGACACGGATCTTGCCATGAAGCAGATTCATCACTGTTACTGCAGTGTAACCTTCATGTAAGATGATGTGTGGTTTCAGGAATGAATGGATGTCAATGACGATGATGGTTTGTGTTGCTTTAAAATCTCTGTTCTGATAAATGTTATCTGTTTATGCAGGGATGAGTCCATATGATCTCCTGGCCAGAAAATTGGTCACCGAGCTAGATGCAGTGGTTCTGTCTGTGGAGTAAGTATTTCATATTTGATGGCCAGTTATATGCAGCTACTGTAATATAGTGCACAAACTGCTGTTTCATTTCTATTATTCATAGTTCATAGTGTTCCCCAAACTTTTTCTCTCAGCCACTCAATTTTCTGTTGCAGTATGAGCCTGTCCTCCCTCATTAGTCACAGGCTAGATGGAAGATGCAGTAGAGTGAAGCTAACAGGTTTTCATTTGGGTCTCGCCAGGCCTTTCCTGTCACAGCTACACACACTGTTGTTCTTTGGCACGTCCGGCTCTAACTCTGCCTCTCAGTACTGTAACTTTCTTTGGCTAATACTCCCTGTCCATCCTCAAATTCATTATTCACTATTCATTTTTAGCTTTACTAATCAACAATTGAAAGATTGAAAGTTCAGTATGCATTCGTGAAGTGAAACTTGTGTATAACGTGGTTGTGCTTGTTGACACCGCATATTTGACAGTGGGGGGGGGGGTGGAGTGAATCGGTGTATTGGTATGTGGGGGTTTTGTCTTTTCTTCTTCATCCAAATTCCTGTCTGTAATTTGTTGATGGTTGGATGAGTAATTCCAGCATTTCACAATCTCAAAGTCAGCCATGTGTCACATTTGGCTTTTAGATTGAAACACAAAACAATTTAGAACATACAGCTTTAAGCATATGTATGTAATGGACCTCATTTCATGAACGTAAATGCAGTTGAATTGTTTGCAAATAAACTGCAAATAAAAAACAAAATCTGTTGTGCATTATTTTTTATGGACTTGAAATGAGAAAGCAGATCTTGAAAACAACTGCTTGTGGATGTGGTAACAAACTGATCAGCTTAAAATGTCTTAAAGTTTATTTTCCATGGCTCAAAATGTTGTCCACATGGCCTTCAAAGCTCATGTTTATTGATGCTTCTGCTTTAATCTGCACCTTTCTGCTTTTCCAGGTACAGACTTGCCCCTGCTCACCACTTCCCTGTCCCATACGAGGACGTATACCGTGTGGTCAAACACTTCCTCCAGAAGGGGGTGCTGGCCAAGTACTCTGTGAACCCAGGACGCATTGCTGTGTCTGGGGATAGTGCTGGAGGGAACCTGGCAGCTGCTGTCTCTCAGCAGGTACTGAATTCGTGTTTCTTTCTAGTGGCAGCTCTATATTGCTGGTTCACATGTGGAGCCACAAAGAACTGTATGAAGAGGTGTCATGAGGCAATGTTAATGAGACAGTTTATAATAAATAGTATTGGATTACCCTGAAGAAAAGAACATGAGCTCTTTGCTGGGACGTGACCATTAGTGACCAACTATTTCATAGCCTATCATGTATGTCTTTGTTTCAACTATTCAGCAGAGCAGGTAATTACATTCATTTTAAGATGATTTTTCTTTTTGAAAGTAGTACACTAGTACAGGCAAGGTATCCCCTTGAACCTTAGAAATGTGAGAGCCATCCTATGCCTATGCTGGTTGAACACCTGCACTGCCCATACCATTTTGCGTGCATTAGAGGCTGATAAACTCCAAAAATTGGTCAAGCTGGAAAATTGGTTAGTCACTCTCATGTTGATGTTCCCAAATCCATTTCCCCTTTGTTTGCTTTTCAAGGACTGGCTTTAGACTACTAAAGGTACCCATGTTTTCAATATGTGTGCACGCAACTCTAGAACTATTGCATCGCTGGGGAATGAGGGTCTAAAGCTGCACATAATCGAACGTGTGCGTGTGCGTGTGTGTGTGTGTGTGTGTGTGTGTCTTTTATCCATGTAAGAACCTGAGGTAAAGCATTTGTGTCCACTAGGAAGCAGTGTCACGTTTGGGAAACCAAAATGTAAGGACACATAGACAAAATGATAAGGGAAAAAAACAATTTCACCGCTGTAACAGTGTAAACAAACCACTACAGCGTGAAAGAATTTCAATGTATTAACGTATATGGATGGGACAGTGACAAGATCACTTGTGGCGGTACTATGCTGAAATGTACGCCCAAACTCTGAAAGAAAAAGATAACTTCCCAACAGGATGTCGGCTCAAAAAGCTTCGTAAAGATGTTTGCGTGTATGTCCACAGAAGCATAATTCTAGTTTTATTCTACCTAGACAACCTCAATCTGATGGCTCATTCCGGGCGATGGGCCTTGTTACATACAGTCCAGTTGACACAGCTTTAACGCTGTAGGGGGTTGGAATCAACTTTAAAGAAAAGCATTTCATACCAGCCAACAGGTGCACGATGTCCTATGGAGGATCTGCATGGAGAACTTATGGTGTTGCACCATGGAGAGTAGCTTATCCCGTTTAGTGCTTCACTTTCTAGGCCTACAAGAGTCTGGAGCAGACATCATGTGCCTGGGCACCCTATCACTAGACCTTTGGCAACAGCATTGCATTCATGAGTCAGACATCTGGCTGGTAGATAGGGATCTGTTTGCTTCTAGGCAAAAGCCCAGTGCACTCACTGGTTCACACTGTTATTAGGGTGATCCCATGATGAGAAGTGGATATGCAGTTTACCCTGACGTCACCCATTGGTTTGTTTTCTGCCGTTTTTAAGCCTTGAGTTTGCCATTTTAAATAAACATCAATCTGTATTGAAGAAGACTTGAAACTAACGATTGAGACCATAGTACACTGTTTACAATGTTTAGTGAGGTAATAATTCAAGTGAGGAGTAGGGGTCATTTTCTCATAGACTTCTATGCAACTTCGTATTTCTTTTTGCAAAAACAGGAGTTGCACCCTGATGGCCATTTGAAAGAATCCAAATTTAGGGCACTTTCGCCTTGGCTTCACTTTTTAGACCTGGAGGTTGCTGCCTGGCTTCACCCTCTTTGGACATCGCTGTCCCCTCACAAATTTGCTCTATGCCATATTTCCCATAAAGACACCCAGAGGAGATAGACGCAAAACCGCTTCTCGACACAGTGCTTACTTTCCTGCAACTTCTGGTACAGCCGAGCATGATGCATTTGACTACTAGTGCATGGATAGATTAGATCCCGTTTTTAATGTGGTAGTGGAGGGGCAGTATTCCATAAAACAGGTTCAATTGCTCTCATATTAACACATTTAGTTCTATTGCAGCACTTTCCTCCTCATATTCTTTTGTTTTACTTTTTATTTTGCTTCCAATGTTTTTTTGGCATATAGTATGGCTGGTTGACCAAGTTATGTTTTAGAGGCCAGCTCCATTGGACCAATCCAGTTCTCGTACTACATCCATGAGTTAAGAATTCTCAACAGCTCAGTGAAGAGACAAAATCTATACAGAACACTGGGGGTGACTAGTACATGTAATCAGATGATGCTGTTTTATTTCTCAAAACTTTTAGCACATATTTAATTGGATTGAGAAATAATCAATGGGATTTTCTTCATATAGATGCAAATATTTCACCGTCTCTCTTCACAGTTACAAAAAGAGCCTGGACAGCAGGTTCAGTTGAAGGCCCAAGCACTCATCTACCCCGTACTGCAGGCTCTGGATCTCAACACGCCTTCCTATCAGCAGAATCAGGACATGCCCATTCTGCCCCGCACCCTCATGGTGCGTTTCTGGAGTGAGTACTTCACCAGCGACAAGGCCCTTTTCAGAGCCATGATGGCCAACACTCACAACAACCCTGAGTCTTCCAGCCTGCTGAAGTTCGTCAACTGGAGCGCCTTTCTGCCAGAAATGTATCATAGAAAATACAACTATAGTGCTCCTGCTGTAGTGCAAGGAGCCGGAGGAGATGGAGTTGGGATGGATGGACCATCTCAATCTTTTGCCGACCCAAGGGCATCACCCCTGCTGGTTCCAGACTCCGCTTTACGCTCTCTGCCCAAGGCCTACATCCTGACATGTGAGTATGATGTTCTCCGAGATGATGGGATCATGTATGTCACACGGCTCCGTTCTGCTGGTGTTGAGGTGACGCATGAACACTATGACACAGGATTTCATGGAGGGTTGATGTTCACTGTGTGGCCAACTGACTTCCTGATCGCACGTCGCATGACAAACAACTATATCAAATGGCTGGAGGAAAACTTGTAAAAAAACCTCTTGACTATCAATATTCATTCCAACTTTTCCACACAATGCACCAGTGTTTAATTAGGCGCATTTTTTCCCATCTGGTGTTAAAGTTGTCTTTTTCTTGGGTCATGCTACTTTTCTTCAAATATATTGAGAAATAATAACGTCTTCTGTTTTTCCACTCATGGACCACATTAGATACCAGTAGGAAGGATTTTGAAAAGAATAGTGTTGATTTGTTCACATACAGTAAGGTGGTGTGAGTAGAACACTAGACATATGCCACCATTACTCAAGCACTGTACTTGATTGTAGTACAGTATTGTGTTCATTGTCCACCAAACACAATACTACCCAGAGAGATCAGCGGGGGAAAATCAAACTGGAATATCACAAAAGTTGTCATGTTGTGGATAGTTTTTTTTAGCTGGCTAACTGGCCTTTTGTGGTGCTGTTCATTCTTGTTTCCCGTTACAAAACCTTCTACCTGATCTTATTTTACTGTTAGATTTTAAATTGGCAATGTGTGCCACAAGAGAAATTGGAGCTATCCCATTTGGGGTTTTAAAAATCCTGAGTAAGTCTTGGAAAAGGAGGAAAGGATTTTCACAAAAGCAAAAAATGACTAAGCCAAAGTTAATATTGAGTGCAGCTGATACTGAAACCTAAGATTGTTTAAATGTGTTTGGAAAAACACCATAACAACTGATGGTTCTTGATATTGCATCAATGATTGGCAAGTGTTTAAATACAGCAACACTGTTTTCCACAAGGAAAGAACAAGGCCTTAGTTGTGTAACCCATACACATAGGGAGGTGCTTGTTGGTATGATAAAATATTTAGATTGAAGAGTGAATGTTATCTTCATCAGCACAACATCTAATTACATCTAGTTTATTTCCACATGCATGCTTTTAAGTCTTTTTGTAATGGCTGCACATCAGGTTGTAGCGTTGATGCTGATAGCAGATTGTACAAATACTAATTAATTAATATCAAGATATGTAACAATAAGTAATAACTAAATGATTTATAAACCTATACATTAGTATAAAACAATGATGGTATTCAGCTTACGCCAAACCACCATTAGTTTAACTGATTTAACAGAAGATTCAATTTTGGACGCCCCCCAATTTTGGAAAGATTCTAAATTTTATATGAATCAAATAAATCTTAATTTCAGGGTTGCTACGGAGTTCTTCTTAAAGTATACGGAGACTTATTATTTCACATACACACAAATCAAATGATCAAGTTCTTTATACATTAAATATTTATTGGACTTACTACATACTAAAATATTAAACAAATAAAATGAATAAACAATAAAATAAACAAAGTGAAGGGGATGAATAAAGAATATGATGGACAGTACAATGAATAATGATGAACCACAACTAAATAAAAAGGATCATATGTGACCAGGTAGAATCAGTGACTCACATCATTGACTGATTGTCTATTGATTTTAATTTAATTTAGATCCTTAGTTCTAAGATATTTCTATCTAGGATTATTTTATTCTGTGACTTAAATTGATTTGGCCTAGGAGCATCAAGATGATTTACATCTGGAAATGGTATTGTTTCACCTGACGGCTCTGATAGGCAGATGGGAGGGATGCAATGGCGGCTGTTCCTCTTTTGAAATCTGCATCTGGTTGGATGATTGTAATTTGTTGAATCACACTCTCCATCGCTCGCTGGATTCGGCTTTCTCTGATATCTTCCGAACCCGGTCGTCTTCTTCGTTGAGGTTTGGCTGGAACCGTTCTTCCTCATCCTCATCTTTCTCAGCAGAATGCTGAATCATCGTATTAGTCGACAGGTCAGGAACACAATACCAGAGAAGAGGCGGAACTGGCAGAACCGCGAGGGAGAGATCTGACATGCAGGATTCAAAGATGTCAATAATATTTGTGGTATTTTAGAAACCAGGTGAAGGGAGGCACTTCTTTAGGTTCTTGCTTCTCAGGTTGGCTGGATGTCCTCTCAGCCTGTGGAGATGTTCCTGCTAGCAGAGGGCCTTCGAGCCTGCGGACGGACAGAACTGGAAACAGCCTTGCATTTTGTAAATTTGACTTTCTACATCAGGGGTATTTAATTAAAATGGAAAGAGGTCCAGCAAAGATCCGAACCTCATAATGTCCGAATTGCATTCTGTAGCCTACCCTTACATCGATTAAATAATTCAACAGTCATTTCTAGTAGGTTGACTTGATCGGCTCAATTGAGTGAAGCTATTGCCGCATTAATTGGATTCGCTGCGCCTGCGGTTGGGGGAAGAAACAATGCTGTCTGTGAAAATTATTGTTTATATACCAGAAATTGTGACAGGTAGAACTGTCATTCTATTCGGTTTCTTTTTTTAAATTGTATTTAGTGATGCCCGTTCTTCAAATAAAAAAAATAAATAACCTACTATAGCTATATTGGTTGTGATTTAACGACAATAAACCGACAAAAACGTAATGATGCCGATTTGTAAAAAGTCTGAATTCATGTTTAGTTACTTCTCTCCGCAAGGTTTACACACACACACACACACATTTATACACACAGTTTGGTCCGGTCTCTATTGATATGAGGTATCGTAGAGCTCTGGGTGAACACAGACGGCTATAGTATTTATTTCCTGATTCAACAACGGCAGGACGTCAGTGATGACAGGAGAAACATCTCAACGCTGATAGGCTATCGCGCCACAGCGTCGCGCCATTTTTTCGATGAAGTTGAAAAATTTCAACTCGCGCGTTTGGGGCGTTTTGGCGTTTGGCGTCAACACATAAGACCAAGTGCCAGTTTTATGATGAATTGTGCAACATTTAGCTTGAAACCATTCGCTTCCTTCATATTCTCCTTTCTGCCTGTGGCTGACATCAACCTGTGACTTCTAAGCACATGGGATGGCTGTTTAAATGATAACAGGGAGGCAAAGGTTACCAAAAAAGAATCCTTTGAATGAATGTTATTTAATTGCTCACTATTCTTTAAGCTTTACTGTCAGATATATCATTGTTTTTCTTCCAGTTTCTCATTTTTACAAAGAGAATACATTATCACATAAAGTATGTAACTTTTTAACTAAGTAAGTTATAACTTAAGTTATCAGAGGAACAGAAGGCACTGCTACATTCTCAACTGTAAATATGGATTTCTGGTTTGGATTCCCTCTTGATGAATTTATGATTTGCATCATTTTTAATTTCAATGTTATCTGTCAATAAATTGACTTGACCTCTAACTACTGCTCACTTGTGTGTGTGTGTGTGTGTGCAATCACATGTAGTATAAAGAGAGCAAGACATGCTGTACAAGAACAGAGGAAAAAGAGAAACAGAAATGTTGTCATCCTACATGACGTTGACAGATATATTACACATAGTGATAGTAAAGAGGATGATATATTCTGTGTAGACTGACTCAGATACAACAAATCCACTTGGCACAACTTGGGTAAAGCAGTCCAGGTTGCATCAGTTGGGTATTCATATAGCTGAGGGGGAGTGTACAGTTGATCTGCACAAATCCACAAATCTACCACTAAACACACCTACCCACGTTCTACCCAAGAGGTTGGGAAAAACATGTTTTTTTAATACTTAGTCTGTTCACACAGGAATGTGAAGGTAAGCATGCTCAAACTGCTAATGCAAATACGCACATTATGTAACAAGATTTTCTCTCGACTTTGGTGCAACACTGTTCTACCCTGAGACTTGAAAACAAATCACGTCATTTTCAAAAGGCCAAAGCCAGTCAAGGTTGATATATTTCCTTCGTGAATGTTGAGTCTCCGACAAATAACTTCTTTGTTCACATGCATTTTATCACCACAACATCATCACTGCTTAGAGTAAGTGCTTTCTTTAATTAACCACAAGTTTAAAATACAGAAACCGACCTAAAAACCTGTATAAGGATCAAGTGCCCTGTAATGCCACTGGTTCAACCTATAACACTGAATTACCTTCCCAAAATGTAATATAGAGCTTTAGGTTTTGTAATTATCCTCAGATGAACTTTTCTGCTGCTTTTTCAACAGCAGATGAAGTTCTTCATACATAGATTTTTCAAATGGAGAGAATAAAATAAAAACAAACACTGAGCTTTTCATTCCTCTGATTTCTATTGCAATTTGTATTTAGATTTAGTGTTTCAAACCTGAATGTGGAAGACAAGGAAAAATGAGGAAATGATGTACTGTTGTAATGATGGTGGTTGGAGTTTGTGGGTGTGTATGAACTCAAAGTAAGCATCTATAGCCTGACACTCTTACACATGCATTCTTATACAAACGAACAATACACACTGTATTGTACAGTAATAGGATACTGATTACACACCCTCCAAATCCAAACCATTTATTGATCTATTCTATCCTATTAAGACCCTGATACTAGTGAATAAATTGCACAATAAACCTTGGATCTCTAAAACAATGAGTAGGTTCTTGGAGTGAAAATTAAAATCATGCTGATGACTTAGTTGAAAAGGACTCAAGGTAAGATGCTTCATAACTCAGCAAGTTGGGGTCACTTAAGTCCACGAAAACCAAAGTCAACGATAACAAATACACCTTTTTCAATGTTTCAGTTGTATGTCCCATTTAATAAAATGCAGATGTAGAGTGCATAGAAAGAAGTTCTCAGAAATACTTACAGACAGCTAAAGTTTCACATTACACAAGAAAAATGATGGGAAAATCCATCGAAGCAATGGTTGGCAGAGTTGATTATCACTGTGATTTTATTAATACCGGTATTGATACTGATTAAAAGTGTAAAAGTATCAGGCATTAACTACATGGAATGGATTATTATGTGAATGACCAACAGAACTGATATTCGGTATCCATTCTCACACACAAACGCTTTGCTCAGCACGGAGTGGGCAGATATATGTGATTTTATCACTTGTCATTAATCTTCCAATAGAAATAATTAGCAGCAGCAAATTACTGTTCGTTGAGTTAGGTTATGTTTTATTACATTTAAGTGCACAGACATCCCAAAATAGAAGTACAAATGATAAATCATGCACCACCAGTTTCATCCGACTACAAACATAAATAATAATGCTTTTTCCAAAAATACAGATACAAATACAAACAGCAACCTATCTGCACACACATACTGCCATACATGCTTAAACAGAGTGTTACTATAAAAATAACAACAGGCTCTGGCCAGAATTTATTTTATTTTAGCATAAAACTTTAACAAAATACATGTAAAGATGGAGCTGAGTATCATTGTACTATCTCGATGCGTGACTCATATGTAGGTACCTTGTGTTGAATTTGGTCAGGCTGATTCTGCCTCTTCCTGAGCAGCTTTCTGAGCTTAGTGAGTAGGAGCTCTCTGAACTTGTCACCCATGAGGAAGTAGAACACAGGGTTGATGACACTGTGCAAGAAGGCCAACGGTCGGGTCATGATGTACAGGCCCTCTATGTACATCCTCGTGCACAGTTGCAGCCCTGCCCAGGACTGCCGAGATGCTATTCTGACATTTCTCAGCACATGGTAGGGAGTGTAGAGAACCAGAAACATGACTGCAGCCGATGCAACAACCCTGAGAGGCCGCTTGTACGACGTTGCCCTGCGCTGCACAGCCCTTTCCTGGACACGGAGCAGATGTGCAATTTTGTAGGAGAAACCACAAAGTCCAAGCAGAGGGAGAAAGTAACCGGTCAAGGTTAGTCCCAGGCTGTAGCCCAATGTATTGATGTCTCCTTTGAGGCTGGCAAAATCCTTGCAGCGACTCCAGTTTCCGCTCTTCAGGTCGTGGACCATCAGTGATATCATTGGAGCAACTTCCACATTGACTGCTAGCCAGCTCAGCCCTGTAACAATCAGGGCCGCTCGTGGCCTCAGCAGGCAGTGGTTCTGTGTTGGATGTCTTATGAGCAGGAAGCGGTCCATGCTAAGCCAAACCATAAACAGGATGGACGAGTAAAGATTAACATGCAGGACATAGCGGTTGATAATGCAAGCATAGGGACTGGTCTCTGATTGGTCATTGGCATAGAGGTATGAGAGGCGTGGCAGTGTGCAGAGGAAAAGAAGGTCGGAGACCGCCAGGCTGAAGAGGTAAACATTGCAGCTCTGCCACTTCGGCAAACAAAATATGTAGCCAAATACAACCAAAAGGTTGCCAGGGAAACCGATGCAGAACTCGATGCCATAAGACGGTGACAGGTAGTACCTCTCCAGCACGTCATTGATTTCTGTACAATTGAGCACCTGGAAAGAAGAGGGGAGGAGAGGAGAGAACAGAATGTGGAGAAAATAGAGACGACGTCAAGAAAGGGGGACGGGAGGGGAGGAGGGAAGGAAGGGAAGAGGAAACAAACGGGTGAGTAATGGTAGAAACTTAATTCTATGAACTCTGAACTTTAAGGACAAAGTTTCAACAACAGATTCAAAATAAACTCATTTTAAATTCAGAGCTGAACACATTCAGCACAACATTATCATCGTGTTAGTATCAGACTTACCATTCCGTAGTTCTAGTAGTTGCTGGTAATGTGAGTAGGGAGTGCAAACATGAGCAGCTGCAGCCACTGTCTGTACACTGGAAACAGTAAACACTGAGTTATGAGGGTACTGGTGCCTCTAATATGACATGGATGAAAAAACACACTGGCAGTTTGAGTTCCCTTTGCATATTAAATATGGAAAGATGACGTCAACCAAACAAAACCTCATACAAGACTTGATAGGTTACCTAATAACTGCACACCCATGGTCTGTCTGGTTGTCTGATACGCCAGCTGGAGTATTTATTAAAGTGGATATGAATGCACAGTCATGCGTTAAATCTCTGAAAAACATTTGAACTTTTAACCTTTAACCCCTTATCGACTGCTCCAAAAGTAATTTCAAACTTAATCTAATGTGCAAATGCTGATAAATGAAGACTGGAAACTAACTACAGTAACAGCAGTGGCACAGCAATAAGTAGAAACGTACATTTGTATTTGTCCCCCAAAGCGTATGTCTTTCAAGACATACTGTACACAATATCCATATTCAAATATGCTACCTTCATCTGTCAGATGGGTCAATTACTGATCAGTCAACCATCCAAGTGTCAGTGAGACCACATTGAGTTCAACTGTGCCACCAAAGTAATTGTAGCATTGCAAGAGAGTGCATCACATAAATCACATTGTTTTACTTCACTGAGGACCGTCTTTGATGCAAACCCTTTAATATTGCCACAGCGAATAGGCTTAGTTATATGCCAGCAGTTTATAGTTGGCCTATTTGTTATTTATCTACAAATGGCATTAGTAGAAATGTGAATGGGACGATCATTTAGAGAATAATCGATCCCTTTCCTAACTGTATCATAAAGTTATACTTACAATCTCCCCAGAGCTGAAGGATACTTCTGGTCCAAAGCAAAAATGGGAAACTACACTTCAAAAAATGCAAAAAGAGAAAGTTTTGGCAATGAGATTTTCCGGTATCATTATTTTCTCCCTAGGATAGCTGTCCAGCAGCCATTTCGGGCTGCAGCATACTTAGTTCTGAGCTCTGTAATGTCCCTTACAGAGTCTACTTAAAATTTTTAATTTAGATCATAAGAAAATGACTCATCGCTTCTTTGTAATTTCCACAAGCGTTTCAAAGTTCCCCTATTTATTTCAGTCGATGCAAACACATTTATTTCCTCTCTTGTTTTCACACTTGATGTCTCACATTAAATGTGAGATTAGTTTCAAATCAGCACATTTTTTTGAGCCAAGTCACGAAGTTGTTAAACAACAACTTGTTGCGGTTTTTCTGTGTTGTGAACCTGATGCTTGCAGCATGTTTCCATTTTCAAATGTACTTCTTCTTTGAAAACAAAAGAACATTTTCTTTCTTAGTTCAATCCAATGAGCTTGCTTTAAAAAAAGACATTCAAAGATTTCATTATTTTGTGTCACAACCGTCAGTTTTCATAAAACTGTAACTTCTATGTCTAAGAAAGGAGAAGTGTTGCATTGTGAGATTTTTGTAAATGGGCATTCATAAATGTACATTGTGACAGCTGACACTATGGGGCGCTGAGCAGTAAAACATTTTGTATATAATGAAAGCTTTTAAGTCTTGGATATAGTTAGGAAAAAAAAGTATTGCGAGATCTATATCAACTGCTTTACTTAAGAAAATAAATTGAGCAGGACATTATTCCTTAGCATCGAAAAGATCCGTACTGAGTGATATTCAAATGTAAAGGAAAAATGGAGCCAGGCCCGAGTCTAAAAATAAAAATATGATAAACAGTTTTCTCATAACACACTAACTAGATGTTCCAGTATTTTGACTTTTTAAGAAAGCCTGGAAATTGGCCTAACATTCTTCAAACCATGTGAAATACATCCCCTAGTCAATGGTGCATGTAGTGCACCTTTTTCTCATAGTCTTTTTCCAGACCTTCACTGGCTTATTCGATGAATATGTTAATGTGCTAATGACAATTGAGGATGTAGCTTTCTCAACTAATCTCATCCAACTGTTACTCAATTCTCAACAGTGTAGGAGTCTATCGCCCAAACCTGATCCCCTTCTTGACTGAGAAATCTGCAAATGTTCTCTCCACGGGAGAAAGGAGTCTTAGAGCGACTATTTTGACTATCGTGAAAAAAACACGCAGTACAATGTTCCTTTTTGTAATTCAATATGTGTTAATAATGTGGAACTAAAACTACAATTCATTCACTTGGCTTTGGAACACATAGGCAGTTCACAAAACAATACCACGATGTTGACTTTCATTTCCTATCTGTGATGTCAAGAGCCTTTCCCCTGGCTGGATAATACATGTTGATGATGTTTCTTCAGATAGGGAGCCTAGAGTATATTTTGGCAACAAAGCTTACAGTGTTGGTCAGCCTTTGCAAAGCACATGATCTACTGCTGCGAGACATGTGAGACAAAGTCACGGTAGATTTGTATTGTTTTTTTTTTTTACCTTGCCTAATAAAATGAACATAACCTTAAAAGACCCAGCCTGGGATGACAGTGGTCCGGTTATATTATGCTGGGATCGAAAGTAATCTTTCAGCATTCCTATGTTCCTGTGCTTTAGTAATGCGAGGATTTGTTCTGGTGGAGGCCAACAGCGGGGCGAAGGCACAAGTCTTATTTCTAATACTGACTTGGGTTAGCATATCTTTTAATTTGTATGATTTATAAAGGACGTGTGATCATCTGTGAATCATTACATAAGATAAGATAAAACTCTGCTGGCCTTCCTCCACATTACACAAAACAAATGTTCGTCCAATATCAACCACGGAAAATTCTCAGACCAGCAGGCGGTGCTCTCCTGGCTCTGTCTTCTATCATTGCGAGACAGCAGGATGTATGTGGTTCAGACCGGCTGTTTACCGACGTGCCTCAAGGGTAAGTTGGTTTAAGGACACAGATCTAAAAGAATACTTTTTGTTGTGTGATTATTATACCTTACATTGGCTTAATATTTGACACGAATGACATCTTCTTTGTTTTCTGTAATGACTTTGTGATATGTAAATAAAGTTTGCCTCCTCTTGTCTTGTCTCACATTTGTCCTGTCTGGGAGAGGGAAGAGAATATGCCTTTGGTTGAGTCAGACAAATAATCTAATCTCATATCCAATAATGGAGAATTGTTTTTAATTACCATTTTATATAATGAGAGTGCCCTCTGGTGGCACACCACACACATATCAGTCTGAGTGCTGCTAAAAGATTGTTGAAATTTCAAACATGACCAGTCCTCATTACTAACTGTTGTCTTTGTGTGGCCAGCCTGTGAAAATCAAGTGGAGACTTATTGAGGTTTCTCAGGTTTGAACAATTCGAAGTGGCTAGCCTGCGGACTTTAGCCTTGAAAGTCAGAGTTCTCATCTTTTGTAGAATTATATTTCAAATATAACTATAAATGCTCATTTGCACCACTTGGCAGTTGAAAATGATGAAGAGAGACTAGCAGTTAAGCAGTTCTCAGTATCTATCTTGTAGGTATTTAAGAGAAAAAAAAACACACAGAGCCCAGGGGCCGAACAGAGACTTCCTCCCAGTCACCAAAGAATGTTTCTCTCACATATTTTTGATAGACTTCACATGACCTTCAATAACTTCTGGCCCTGCAGAGGGAGTCTGGATACTAGCTAATACATCAACCCTATTACACCCACTAGTGCCATATTTATTCACATCACTATTTCAGACATATATTGCGTGACTACAGCAGGTGGATTGACTTAAAACTAAAGGGTCATCATGTGTGTGTGTGGGTGTGAGCTTTGCTAAAGAATTACAAGCTATGACTAAACCAGTGTGACCTTATCGCCAGCTTCATATGTCAACTGCTTGTGACCACTTCAACCAAAGGGATCTTTTTCTGTGTTTTATTCATACAATTTTAAAGGAGAAGGTAAAGCTTTAAACATTTGTGTAGCAGAACATATTTTGTTGCTTCTCTCTCTTGATATTGAGTGATCCCAAATATCACGTTTGGAACCACTGCACTAAACTAACACACATGTGCCATATCATTTAAATTTGAATGCAGTTACTGAAAAACCTCCTGCCACCTGTATGTGTTGGTGGAGTTGTAAGAGGGCTTTAAAAGGAGCCCATAGAACTATACCAATTACAATCCTCATACAAGTGGGAACCACCAGAAAGGGAAATCGATGGCAACTGTATATGAATTATGAATAACTAAATGATTCCAGCTACACACATCATGTACCAGCCCTGACATACATCGTGTGATACAAATATAATCAAGCAGAGGGCAGTACTAGCCCAAAACTCAGATTGTGGACTTAGCTCTACAAGTGTCCTGCCTTATGTTTGAGGAAAATGACATTGGTGAAGTTATGTAGCAAAAGGAAATGTACAATAAAAACCTTGAAGTTAGATCAAATGAACTGAAATAGCGTCTGAACAATGAGAGCAAGTCCTAATCGTTGCCAGTTAAATGGAAATGAAGGAGACAGAATGAGAACCAGTGAAATAGATGACAAAGCTGGGATGGACTAGTTAGTAGAGGGTGGATCTGTGCCAAACAGTATGTCACGGTTTATTCATCACTTGTTTAGGCGCGTGTGTGTGTGTGTGTGTGTGTGTGAAATGAAGAAATGAAAAGATGATGGACTGCATCTGCTATAGTTTCACTTGTGCCCATTCCTCCCTCTCCACCTTAGATGGGCAATTTGTCCCAAATGTACCTGGACAAGTGCAAACACACACACACACACACACACACACACACACACACCCTAAATGAGAGACCAAAAATAAACACACAATATCAGTATATCTGACAACAGTACATGGGTATTATATTAGACAGCTAGATTGTCATGTTAACACATGTGAGTGAATGTGTGTCTCCTGCTGTGAGTGATTGTCCCCGTCAGCCCCTGTAGCAGTGTCCCAGTTCCGCAAGGTGACACACTTACAGCTGTATCACTACAACTCTGCACTAATTATCAACGTGGTTCACATTTGACAGCGAGTTAATTGGATCAAGGCCAATGTAGAGTGTGGGTTTATGAGTGTTTTAGTGTGCATCACGTGAGATGAAGGCATGGAAGTGAGGGACTGCATCTATATACTCCATTGGGCTAAGGTTGTTGAGTTACTTGCAGCACAATGTCCTAAAACTCTCTGCATTATCTGTGCTCTCTTCATGGCCCGTCTCCTCTGCTCTTTTGAGTTCTTACTTTTCATTCTTTTTAGAGTCCTCTCTCCCCCCCCCCATGGTCTCCTATCTCTCTTTATGATCATTCCAACCTTCTCACACAATCTTTTTCAATTCCGTCTCCTTTATTTCCAAACTTCAAATTCCAATATTTTCTCATAGGCTCGAGTCAGAGGGTTTTTCATCCAGTGTTTGTTTGAGCAGCAGTCAAACTGGCATGCTCAGACAGGGGTGAGATTGAGAGCTTTTCCTCTCGTCCCTTTCTTGGAGTCGCAGCCTGGACCGGTTATGCAAACTGGTTTAAATATGTCCTTAAAAGCCCCAAAACAGTCCTTGTTTTCGTGTTTCAGACGTGCATGGACATACTGTCCAGTGAAACATGATCATTAGTTGTGGAAATACCCAGCAAGCTTTGGCTTTTTTGGCCAATTTACAGTTTTACTTCAGTGAGAGAACAGTTAAGTTCATGCTGTTTCATCTGTGTCAGAGACACTGTCAAATGAAGTCCCCCGTCCTCTTCCTACTGACTACTGCAGACACAAAGTAAAACTCAACTCTAACTAAGGAAGCAATTGTCAGACTTTGGCATGAAGTAACATTTATGGAATGTTTCTTATACAGATATGTACAGATATAATATATATCATATGTCAAATGTTTATGTTAACCTTGTTCAGCTTTGTTGTCTCTATTTTTAGCTGCATGTCTATATCTGTGCATGTACATTGAGAGCGTCAACACCGGAGTCAAATTCCTTGGTTGTGTTCACACGGCCATTAAAGCTGATAAATAGAATTTTCATTTTTTACATTTGGCACTTTGGCATGTTCAAAACATTCTTGTGAAAAACAAAGATTTACTTTGG